TATTGACATTACATGGCACTATTTCTGGCTCTAGCCCAGGAAAATATATTCTTAAGTAAGCAAGTGCCACTGATATCAATGGAATTATTCATATTCTTAAAATTAAACATATGCTTAAGCATTTTAGTGAACTGAGACAGCTGGTCTCTTATGGAAGGCCTGTGGAAATAAATGCAGCATCGATTGCAGATTGTGGATTTTATAACCCGATGCACAACTGAATGTTGCTTTTGGTGATTACTTCAGCATTTGAGACAAATCTTTGCCTTTTTGTGGGATATTTGTGACAGTGCAACTGCTCGTGTCGTTTCAAAACAACCTGATTTGTTTTCACATTAAACTCATTTCTAAAAAGCCACGTGCTTGAGTGAGCTCATGAATCAGGACCCCAGTGACTGAATGTTCATTGAAAGTGAATAAAAAAAGGGGAGAAGGGTCCTAATTGAAACCATGTTTTGAGCTGTAGTGTAAAGGCCCAGAAAAAATGAATCCTTCCAGTTGGGGTATTTTGATAGCAGCCGTTCCTAGAGAATTGAAGTTATTTGGGCCACTTTGTCAGACAAATGTGAATTTCTCAGTTTTCCCCTAGGAAGGGCTGTGAGAACGTCTTACTAAGTGGGACCAAATCGTGGGGTTTTCTAGAAACAGCTGAAGAGATTGTTGGAACTTTTGATTCAAAACCATTTTGGGTCAGCTGGTTTATCTGGCCGTGGGTTGACCGTGCTTCTTCTTCCTAAGAAGCAACTTTTACCCACTTCTCCTCCAGGATCACTGGTCCAAACCAGCCCTGACTATGTGTGCAGCCACCCTGTGAGCTAATGCAGAAGGACAGAAGCAGGGGACCTCAAGACCCTGAGTGCTGCAAATGCAGTGACAGAGTGTTCACTGAAACACAACTTTCAGCTGATCAGGACCTGATACCTTTCATCTCCTCAGAACATCCAGCAATATCTGGAAAACCCTGGAATTTATTTACCTCCCTATGGCTAATTTTGTCTTATATGAAAAGTGGGTAGTGAGGATGTAGGTAAAACTGTAAAAAAAAGAAAGAAACCTCTTTCCTAGCAGTTGTGAGGTGAGTGTAACAGAATTGCCAGAGCCTGAGTTAGAAATCCTGTGTCAAACCTCAAAAGCAGCACTTAAAGTTGAAAAGACAAGACTTTGAGAGGCAATAATTCTTGAAGCTTATCTCCTTCCTTCCTGGGTTTCTGAGCATTTCACGTTCATGGTTCCAAACTTTTAACCACAGACCTGGGAGATTAAAACTGACCAAAAAAAAAAATCAAAGCTGAATCAATGGGGTTTTATTTACATGACTCCAGCAGAGGGTTCTTTAAATCAACCATAAAGATTGCCAGGCTGGCAATAAAATCCCAGGACCTAGCGACAGCCATTCTCTGTTTCAAAAGCATTTTCTTTCTTTTTGAGACCCTTAACAAATAAAGATCTTTTGCAAAAGGCACGAGAGACACTCCAGTGAAGCAATTTCTTCTCCTGGTGTTGTTAAAAGCAGGGACTTATTATTAATTACTCGTGCATTATTTTTGCAGGTCCATGAATGTGCAATGTCTCTTAGAGATAAATCACTGCCTTGAAAAGTTCCCAGTCTGCCAGCCAAGTCTTGCAGTGGAAATCTCTGACAGCAGGAGGCAATTGGGTGCAGTGACACAGGTAAGTGCCACCTGTCACTCCCTGGTGCTGCAGGACTGGGGTGTTATCAACAGTATTCATTTCATTTGTGTTGCAATTGCACCAAATCGACTCAACTGATGCTGTTGATTCACAAGCCCTTCGATCTGGCATCAGTTGAAAGGAGCAGC